TAATTTGTAATACTGAAAATGGATTAAATATTAGTTAGACTAAACTATATTTAATTCATGATGTTGAAAGAGAATTCTGTTTGATAGAATTAATTAAGTATGATAAATTAGATTTATTATAGTTAATTAAGATGTATTTATAATTAAATAAAGTTGATGTTTTCTTTTAATACATTTTGGAATTAGATTAAAAGAAAAGTTCAAGATAATAATAAATAATATAATAAAAATATATTAATATATATGGAGTAAAGGTAGGGTAGCGGCTAAAGCCACTCCCTATCCTTTCTCTTGTTGTTATTGTTATTATTAATATTTATTATTTATTATTTATATTATTTAATTAATATTTAATTAATAAATGAAATAAAATAAATCATATAATAATAAGGGTGGAAAGTGGCGTGCAGCCCACTCCCCCTTATTGTTAGCTTGTTTGTTTTATTTATTTATTTGATTAAATAAATGAGATTAGTCCTAATTGGATTAAAACTCATTAATAAGAAAGACTTTCATTGTGATTGGGAAACTAGTTTAGAACTAGTATAAATACATCCTCCTCCTTCATAATTCCTGACGAGTTTTTAGATTCAGTATTACCGGTTTATTCCTCTGCGAAGTAATTTCCTAGCCTTTCTCTATAGGAGATCTAACCGTTCTTTCGGAAAGGAGAAATCACGTGGATACTTAAGGTCAAGGTGTAACACCCCGGCCCCGTGGGACCCGAGGTAGTTACTCCGGACCAATAGTACTGTCCTCACAAACCGCCACTGGCCTTTTACGCGCACTTTGTCCTCACTCGTGCGCGCCCTGAGAAACTTCCCAGGGGGTCACCCATCCCAAGACTACTCCCGTGCAAGCACGCTTAACTTTGGAGTTCTTGGATAATGAGCTCCCTTAAAAGGAGATGCACCTTGTTGGTATGAGTAGTACTATTAATCCATTTATATTAAATATCAAGTGTTACAATCACCCCCACTTAGGATCGCAACGTCCTCGTTGCGCCCTTAAACCAATCTCAATCAAATCCCAGAATCTTTTCCCCTGCTAGGTGTCTGCCCGATATCCAACGGATCAGCACACTGTCGCAGGGTTGCTCTGATACCATTTGTAACACCCCGGCCCCACCGGACCCGAGGTAGTTACTCCGGACCAATAGTACTGTCCTCACAAACCACCACGAGCCTTTACCGCGCACTTTGTCCTCACTCATGCGCGCCCTGAGAAACTTCCCAGGGGGTCACCCATCCCAAGACTACTCCCGTGCAAGCACGCTTAACTTGGGAGTTCTTGGGTGATGAGCTCCCTTAAAAGGAGATGCACCTCTGTTTGTATGAGTAGTACTATTAATCCGTTTATATTAAATCTCAAGTGTTACACAAGGATTATTATCGCTAGGCTGGAAGATCTGTAAGTTCTAACTCAGATCTGTAAGTTCTAACTCAGATCTGTTATTATTGTTATATTCGTTGTTTTGTCATAATCAGGGAAGATCTGTTTAGGAAATTTTTAAACTTCTGCTGCTGTACTTTCGAGGTACGTTACATCAATTTTCTAACATGACCACCGTCACAATTACTATCATCTCAGTTACTACCACTCCAGTGACTACTTCGTTCTAGTTACCATCACTCCAATGTTCATCATCTCAATTACTAGCGCTCCAATGACCACCACTATAGTGACAAAAAATCTAAAATCATTAGTGACCAAAACAATAGTGACTAAAATCATTAGCAAAAGTTCATCAGCTACCATCATCCGTTGACCACTCGTGAGGTGACTATCCCAATCATAGTGACCAAACTTATTGCCCGCCATATAGTGAATTTCCGATCAGTGACATTGCCACTCGGAGTGACGTGCCGAATAGTGACATCGCCACCAATAGTGACCTACCGGCTAGTGACATTGCTGTTCATAGTGACCTTGCCACCCACAGTTACATGACAGCCAATGACATCACCGGCCATTTCCCAATTTTTTTGTCGGTGTCCAACTGCCTTGACTGTGACCGCCACCCTAATTGCCGATGAAACGACTGCCGCCTCTGGCGGCAGCCGGCGGTGTACTGCCAGTAACCGTCCACATCCCAGCCCCGACCCTCTGCAGAATCCCCCTTTCCCAGCCTCCCCAACCCATCCCCTCTCTGGCGGTCCTGCAGCTCCCAACCACCGCCTTTCCTGCCCCTGCACCACACCCCAGACCCGCCCCATTCTCCACCAGTCCAACCCAGCCCCTCCCCTGACTCACCAGTCCACTGCAGCCCAGACCCTGTCCCACCATCCCACCCTAGACACTCCCGTTCACAGTAGATCCACTTGCCCAGTCTACCCCAACCCCCAACTTCACCCTCAAATCTCAGCAACCATCACCTAGTCTCACCATCAGAACCCAGATTCCGGCCCTCAACCCCCAACCCACATCTTCCAACCCTAGGCCCCAAGTGCACCACCGTGTCCCTAAATCGCGACCTCGCCGATGACCGATGTACTCAACGTCGTCAATCTCCGCGCCATCGCTCGCCGCGCCATCACTCGTCGTGTCGTCGCTCGCCTCGGCCTGGTTGTTTTCAGATCCGAAGAGACCAAGAGACTGAGAAGAGGTGAAAGAAGAAAGAGAAGAATGGTGAACCTGTGGAAGTCGGCGGCAGAGTCAATATGGCGGAGGCAGAGCTCGAAAGGCGACAACTTGAGGTTTGCCTGGAGATCTATCGCACAGAGATGGTCGACGACAAAAAAAGGTATACGGGAGAGATGTAGAGGGTTGGGGGTAATTTTGGATTTTCAATCTAATTAGTTCTCTTTTTTGCTGAGATTCAATTGTGGTCTTATTTTTGTCTTTACAAAACTCTGGAGTAATATTCCCGTCATTCTTTCAAAAAAATTATCATAAATAATATATAAGTTTGAAAAGTGAGAAACTTGGTAAATAGAACACACAATAGGAGATGTACAAATGGGTACCTAAAATGGGTTACCTATAAGGCTGCCTGCAAACCTAAGGGTGAAAAGGCAAATTTGATGCTTTCACCTCTATATTTGCTGCAAGCCATGTATTTGTGGGTGTCAAACTTCGTTGGATGGCACGAATGCAGTGAGAATTTAGACCCTTCATTCACGGAAAAATGTTGCTGCAGCGGCACATATGCATGATTCCAAAATGTGGGGTTTGGAAAATTAAAACCCCCTAATTTTTTACATGTAGTATATCTTTTTTATTTGTAATCTATTTTTTACAAAAAATATATCAAAATTCATAATTTTTTTATTATCTTTCATATGACACCAATATCATATATATAAAGTTTAGAGAATAAAAATATGAAATTTCGTCAATTGGAGATTTTTATGTTTAATTTTTTTAAGTAGATCCAAGTGCTAAAATTAAGATCTCATAACAAAAATAACTTTTTACTATCTTTCGGTTATTTTTTCCCCCAAAAATTGCTATATTTTAACAATAAAAAAAGTTAACTCTAACTTTATTTATTTTTACATCGAAATGTTCGTCTTTTAATATCATATATATTAGCAAATCAGATTAACAAAAAATAATTTATAATAATAAAAGGAAGAGTTTAATTAAAGAAAAACTTTCATGGTTGAATATATTGACGGTGCAGGATTGCAGTAAAAACTGAATTGATAGACTGAATACGTATAAAGTAGTGGGGAATTTAATTTAGGTGACAACTCCGGTACCCTTCTAAAAAATGTGTTACCGTACCTACCATTCATTTGATTGGACCACACCATTTTATCACTTTTAATTTAGATTTAAATAAGGCCTTTTTATTCCAATATTACTAAAAATTGGATAAAAGATAAAAAAGTGATCTCTTTTTAAAAATTCTAAAAATGTGACTAACATCACAATTAACCCTGCAGTGTAAAGTGACTCTGGGTAAAGTGACTCCGACCAAAGTGATTGTCCCACCGACCAAAGTGACTGTCCCGCCGCCACAGTGACTGCCCCGGCCCGCCGCCACAGTGACTGCCCCGCCGCCACAGTGACTGCCTCGCCGATCACAGATACTGCCCCGCCGGTCACAGATACTGCCCGCCGCCACAGTGACTCTGCCACCACAGTGACTCCACCCCACAGTGACTCCGGTCACAGTGACTCCCACCATATTGACTGCCCGGCTACCAACACAGTGACCATCACAATGACACCCGCCAGCACCGCTGAATTACTGCCGCCGCACCGCCCAATTACCTCCGCCGGCCACCGCCTCCGGCAGCCACCAACTCCGGCCAATGACTGCAATCACCACACCCAGCCCCCTCCTCTGCCTCACCCAGCCCCATCCCTTGCCTCACCCAGCCCCCTTTCCACAGCCCCCAGCCCCAGCGGAAAGCCCCCTTCCCTGCCTCATCCAGCCCTCTTTCCACAGCCCCCAGTCCCCCGCGGACAGGCCATAGACTCTTTTCTAGCAGGCCAGCCCACCTCCATAGCCGCCAACCGCCCAGATCTGAAACCACGAAGCATTGGCCAAGCAGCGACGGCCAAGCAGCGGAGGAAGAGGCGGTCCGGCTGTTCAGGCTCCTCTTCGACTTCGAGGACGGTGGATCCGACAGATCTGAGCCCTCATCCACCAATGTTGGAGGATCCAAAACCGGTTGCGAGAAGAAAGACGAAGAAGAGAATCAAAATGGAGGACGGGCGGCGTCTGCTGGTGGAGGTGGCGAGCTATATTATCTTTGGCGGTGCTCTGGTGGATGTGTGGATCTGGAGAGCTTCTCACACGAGGGAGAAGATGATTCTCAAGCGGATGGAGAAAACGGATCTCACGCGGAGAAAAGTGCAGTGCGGGACAGTTTTTTGGAAAAAAATGGGAGTGGTCATATTTTTAGAAATTGAAACTTAGGGAGTAATATTTGGGCACTTATTTTTTTAAATAATTCAACTGCTACATTCTCATTGGTCTATGTGGATAAAGATATTATACTTATGAGTACCATAGGCGGCTGGGTTGCTGTTAGGCTAATATTTTTCTTTTTTTCCGTGGGTCCCTTAAGATATACTCGGTATACAATAAAATGAATTCACACGGATAGGGTGGTCAGTTGCAAGGAGTATGAGCGAGGAAGACAATGGACGAAGAGCTTAGTTACCAAATCCAACAGATACGGCAGATCGAATCAGAGGAATTGCTTGTTGAGGAAGTCGACGGTGAAACATCAGAGGATGACGATAACGTGTAACAATCTAACTCATTACTCACTATATGTCTATATCTTGGATTATGTTGTATTTCGTTGTGGTCTAATAATAAAATCAGTTAGCAATTCGCATACATAGTGAAGTAGCGATTTTGATTCGACAATCGCGCTAGCTCGAATATAAGAAATTGAAGCAGGAATGGCTCAAAAGTACTAGGGTTGCTTGAACTGTGCACATTCAATTTGATTTACTACATGTCAACCAGTCAATGGATTTTGGGCGCACAAGGCTTCATTTAACGTAACCTTTTGGGCATACCTGCATGAGCTGGCAAAGTGGAGAGGCTAATGTATTCTTGCTGTATCTATAAAATCTATACCAAAAAACAAAATATTTTTGCCTTGGAGTTTCAGCTTTGAGTTGATAAATAAAACGGTAAAAGATGATTATAAATACAATGTTCTTTGCTCCAAAATCTTTGAACAGAAAACGTGGTCCCATGTTTTTGACAGTTATCTATCTACATTGACCATATTTATCTATCTACATTGACCATACCAGTATACCACATAGTTTAAGAGAAAATACCGGGACCATAATTTAGGTTTAATGCACCAAACTCTCTTGCGATATACTCTGTATAAATTTTGATCATTAGTTCCACGTGATTCAAAAAATACACCGAACTCGTGTGCTATAAGTTTATAACTAATCATACACATAACATCCTCAGAGAACAAATTTAACGGTCAAATACGATAAAAGTGTTTGCTATTTTGTACTCCCTCCGGTTTTTAATAAACTTCACACTTTCCTTTTTGGGATGGTCTAAAATAAACTTCACACTTCCTTATTTCCTTTTTTGGGAAAGAAATCTACACCAAAACAGTGCCAAACAGTGCAAAACAGTGTCTCAACAGTGCCAAACAATGTCTCTACAGTGCCAAACAGTGTCAAACAGTGTCTCAACAGTGTACTCTACAGTAAAGTCAAATTTCTTTCCTTATTTTGTGTGAAGTCAAACTGTGAAGATTAAAAAAAACCGGAGGTAGTACAATTTAGAAATCTCTACAAGCTTATATATGCATGGCTAACCATAACCTACGACACATGATTTTCAGAGTACTAAATCTGTTGCTTGAGGGTGTTATATGTATGATTAATTATAATACAGTGGGGTATGATGCATTTTTAAATCATGAGGGGCTAACACACATAATCTGTATATAATTTTGGGGCATTAAACCCTCATAATTTTAAAAAACAATCAATATAATGTGTAACATGACCTCACCAAAACCAATGATTTGATTTATGTTATTGGGAAAAAAGATGAATTTAATACGGAGCAGTATATATAAATGGTAAAGATAAGATGCAAGAGTATCGATTGCGGTGGTTTGGTCATGTGCATAGAGGACTGAGTGATGCATCTGTTAGACGAGTTGAGTGGTGTGGAAAAGAGTTGGGGAGCAGAGGTGGAGGAAGACCCAAATAGACTTGGATTAGAAGAATCAAAACTGATATACTTCTTCTTTAGTTATATGAGAGTGTGGCTTTGGAGAGGGCAAAATGAAGGACACATATTCGTGTGGATGATTGATCTCTTCTCTCTCTCTTTTTCTTTTTTCTTTTATCTTCTTTATTTTTCTATGTTCTTATGTTATTTCTATCCTTTATCTTTCTTATGTTCTTTTATCTTTTATTTTATATCTTTTATGTTCTTATGTTATTTTTATATTATAGTTATCTTTATCTTATCCATTTTATCTTACCCTATCTTTTTATTTTTCTTATCTTCTCTTTTTGGCTCTGATATCATGGATCGATTCATGTTAGCCGACCCCAAAATCTTTTGGGAATAAGACTGGAATGGTGTTGTTGTACATAAATGGTAAACTATGGAAAAATATACTACCTCCGTCCCATTAGAAGGTTCCCGTCCACTATTCACATGGTCAACTTAAATCATTTTTAATCTTTTACTTTATATATCAAATTTTTATGAATTTTTTTTATCAAGCTTTGTAGCGGTGTTAATGTAGTTTCTGAATATGTAAATTTTATTTACTAAAAATAATCAGAGTGTGAACAAGGATTAAGTTGTTTTATCGTCAGTCAAGCATCGTAAACCGTCAACGGGAACCTTCTAGCGGGACGGAGGGAGTATAATTTGCATACATTTCATAATGGACAGATAAAAAACTTGGTCAACCTAGAAAGATAAATACGGAAGGGGAGCATATGCCAAGGTCAAATAAATGAACTGAATAAGCAAAGTGATATGTTGTTACTTGGAAGGGAGAATTATCATCACCATATATAGTTGTTTTTCTGCTCTGTTTGAAACTCGCTTTATTTTCTACGCGAACTAATTATTGATTAGGAATCACTTTGATTATGTTTTCTTTTTATATTGGGATGCATCATAGTTTGAGGGAACCAACTTCACCGAGTGACCTCAATTACGACACCTCTTTGGCTGCATTGCATTCATATCTTGGTGGTATGTACACTTAAAGACATTTGATGCTCTATTTATGTTGAATTTTTTAATTGATGTTTCTAATGCACTTGAACTGTTTAAATGCGTGCTCTATTCAGATATTGAAGACACACATAATAGGTTATCCTTCTTGGATGGTGGAGCAGTGATAGTTGTTCCTTTATTATATCTTAAAGGTGAATATTCATATGATGAAGCACAATATTGACAATAATGTGTGTGCATTTGACCATGTTTGGCACTTTAGCTTCAACATTATCAAGAAGCACAATATTAACAATAATACAGTCTTTTGGCACAACTTAGTTATGCATGAGGGAGAAAAAGAGAAGACAGAGGAAGGGAAGAAAGAGCACTATAGTAAAGGAAAAAAACACGTTCATATTTATCAAAGCTGTGGGCGTTTGGTTTATTATTTTTAAGAAGGCCAATTCGAATCAAATGCTAAAAATCCTAAAATGGGTTTTGGTTTTTATTTTTTAGTCAAGTCTTGGCAGTGAAATGTTCAAGACATATTTACATTGATTATTTGATTGGTCAACATTGATTTTCACTATGGGTCATCCAAAAGCAGTCTCTTTGTGCTTTAGTGAGGCTGCGTACATCCAACCCCCCCCCCCCCCGGTATTATTGCCATATTGTAATTCCTGGAGCTGGAAGAAATGACAAAACAGTCAAAATCATATAAGCTCACATCTAGCAAGATCCTTAAAATGATATCTGGTTAAAGTAAATCTCGGATATCTTATTATCACCAATCACCAATAAACTAAATCTAGCCGAACCATCTTGCTTCTAACTTTTTCAAGAAATCATATTACCATTTACCACCAATAAATATCAATACCTTGAAGTGGATCATCCATCGAATGGGCAATTCACCCAATCAGTATCAGGACATCCAACAATCTGAACTATGATTTTTGTCTACATACATTAATGATCTCTTTCTTGGTGTACCTTAAACATGAGCAATAGAGTCCTAATGACTGAGACATATAGAGTTCTTAGAAATTTGCTCAACACACGAACAACAAAGTGTTTATGATCAGATCATTGAGTTTTTATAATTCATGGAATCATGGGTACGTTATTCTTCATTATTCCTTCAGTTTATGTATCCTTGCATAGTCCTGTTCTACTGCTTATCAAATAAACACTAGAACTATGTTCCCTGACCTAATTGTTTAAGAACCAAATAATGTAATATAATATCCGCTCTATCCTCCCCTATTTCATTGCTTGGGTGTATAACTCGCATCAATTGTCATCTAAAAAAGTATTGTGTGAGCCAAATATGAGAGAAAAGCTAAAACCTATTTTTGTTTATCCATTTTTCTGTCTCAGTTTCTATTTTTTGAGTAGTTAAGCTCTAAAATCAGAGAATCTAAACAAGTATTACGTAGTTTCATAGTCACAACAAGCTCACCTATTTTCCATCTTATTTCATCAGGAGTCGTTTTATTTCCTGAAGCTACTCTTCCTTTGCGAGTAGTTCAGTCTAATTTTGTAGCGGCTATTGAAAAAGCCTTGCGACATAGTAATGGTTATTATACTATTGGTGTGGTGAGTATACTTGTGGAGTTAACTTTTTCCTTACTGGTAGCAATGTTTTACTTATTTATATATTGAAAATTGAAATACACCTTTAAGTTGGATTTCTGGGAATTGCTTTTCAGATTCGAGTTCAAAAGGATCCTCATAATTTGAGGATAAAATTTGCTACAACTGGGACAACTGCTGAGGTGCCAATTGTTACTTGGTCAATATTGTACTAATATATTACTGAATAGTTTTTTGCTGATCTACAGTATCTAGTATCTACTATGGGTGTAAAGCTATTGGGGTCATTTGATATAGTTTGCAAAACATGTAGACAAACAAACTGTTCATCTATCAACTCTTTCATCATGATTGCCTCAATCCCAAGAAGTTGGGGTTAGTGACATGAAATTGTAGTGCCAAATAATGGCTTAAAATTAGTTTACACTATAATTTTAGTGCAATAAAATCATTGTGGCAATGGTTTTCACAGGATTCCCTACATATTGCAGCCTTCTTATGAAAGACTAATGAGATGAAATTCCAAAACAATTATTATCATTATTTCCATGTGCATAGAAATTATCTGCTAGAGCTGAGGTAGCTGATGAAATTCATGATTGATATTGAAGAATCAACATGCAAATCATGAAACACGTTACTCTATCAATTCTTTGATCAGTGAATTTTTTGTTGCTACTTAATAATGCGATTACACAATGCTGTAGATTCGGCAATATCGGCGGTTGGAAGATGGTTCAGTGAATCTAATTACCCGTGGCCAGCAGCGTTTTCGTCTGAGACGCCACTTCATAGATGTGGACGGATCGGTGAGACATTCTTAGATGTGAATACTCCCTTTTTATTGAATTCTTACCTTGCTCATTTGATTTACATCGCTTCTTCTGAATAGCCTTGTGGAGAAGTTCAAATCATCCAAGAAGACGTTCCATTAAGGACGCCTCGAGATACTGTTGGGAGATTGACACCATTGCGAAGATTCCGAGCTTTGTCCACTGTGCCATTGGAAACAAAATCATTAAATATTTTTCAAACAGAGCATTATGGGTGTGTAAGTGGGACTAATGATGATGATAAGGTTGATGAAGTAGTGGATATCCACTTGGAAAGAAGTCGCCTGCATGATTTTATAGGGTCGTTGCATACACGACGCGAGGAAAAGCATATGCATCCTAATCAGGGAGTTGGAAAAATATCCGTTTCAGATAGGCCATCTTGTGAAGACAATGGATGGAAAAATCATGCCATTAGCCAGACGTGTGATGTTTCCAGGGCTTATTTGCCCAATTGGGTGTATCAGATGTATGATTCATTTACTCTTGCTCAGAAGGTAGCAGGTAGCTTTTTTCCCTTTTCTAGCCTGCGATATATTTTACTTGTTCAATATGGCTTTCCTTGCAATTACCTCTTTTATTGAGATCAGTAGATATTTAGATGTTTTTGAGATTGGGTTTCCTAGTGATCATCATTATAAACTCCATAGTCCCAACTAGTTGTGGTTGGTGACACGAAATTTAGTGTCAATCAATTGCCTAAAGTTAGTCTACAGTCTACACTATATATTTATGCAAACTGTCCATCATAGGTTATTTGTACTTGCATCAAACTTGTTAGTGATGATTTCTCAACTTTGGCTATGGACAGTTGTATGAGAGCTACACTTTGATATTCAATTCCAGACTTCATAAAAAAATATAAGAAAACTAGTTTGCGGTTTTACTAGTTTTTTTAGCTGTGAATCATTTATGACATGAGTCATTTAGGTATCTGATATGCATACATGTATGATGGGCCATGCAACTCATTTTAGGCTATGAAATTTGAACTTGAAATGTCCTAAAAGTGGGTAAATGTCAAATGTGTTGCTTATGCATGACACAATATGTGTCGTATGATCAGGGGCGGAGCCAGAAAAGTGTGTGAGGGGGGTCGGAGTTTAATTATACACAGTATCAAAATGATGGATAATTATTATACAATACTTGAATTAAATATTTCATATGTAGCTGAGATAAATGATAGTTTAATGAGCCCTTTTCAGTTAATGTATTGATATATATGTAATGTATCATAATGGTCACACAACTAATGACTGAATAAGGTGTTTTATTTTTAAATTTAAGAATATAATCAACGTCCCGCATCAAATTTTGCTTATTTCAAGTTACAATGGTGCTGATTTTTCCAGAAGTCATAACTTTTTACTCGTAATGAGTTACGGGACCCATAATATATCAAATCAAAGGTATTTGAGAGCTCTACATTCTTGAACTTTCAACGGGGTCGGCTGACCACCCTGACCCCCTGCGTATGATATAGATCCTAAATACGAAGTATTTATTATATGATTTACATTACTAATCTCTCCATTTTGATCATCATCATTATCATCATCATTACCCCAGTGCCGCAAAGGCTCCCACCTACGGTGGAGTAAGGGGGAGACTGTTTCCAGATGACCCATAGTGAAAATCGCGTCGAAAATTGCATGGACCGACTGCTGCATCATAAGATAGAAGCACAACCAGTTTAGTGAGCCATTTTGCTATATTCCATCATATTTCCAAGTCAAAAAATAGTGAGTTTGGCTCCATTGCAAATGATAAGTTAGTATTATTGCTCACTGGGTTCTCCTTAGCTATATTTACATAATTTATATTCATAACGTTGCTTAAGACTGAAGTATATTACATTACACTTTTCACTTCATAGAGAAACTGGAATGTGGCTGGTAATTTGCTATTTTACAGAACAGTGGAAACAGATATTTAAGGTGCCAAGCATGGATGCATTTGTAATGAAGCCAGATCTGTTATCATTTCATATTGCCAGTAAAATTCCTGTATCGGAATCAATTAGGCAGGAACTTCTTGATATTGATGGGATCTCTTATAGGTTGCGACGAGAAACTAAATTACTTGAGAGCCTTGATCGTATACGGTGCAAGACTTGTAAAGTAAGGAACAATCATCACACTTTTACAGTCATGCTACTATGCTAGTTTTGTTTGAGAGATGAGTGCGTTTTTGTAATTTTCGTGCACTTTTTTTATATAACGATGCATATTTTGTCGCGGTTTTCATTAGTTCTCCATATTTACAATTATGCTACCATGTTTTAGCTTTAGAAAGTGAACTTGTCCTTCAACTTCTTCAAATCAATGACTAAGATTACTTCTCATTTTGACCTACATAGTACTTCTAATTTCAACCAAGTTATATACTTCGTATACTAATATATATACAGGGAAGAGTTCAAATAAAAAGTGGTGTTCCTGTGCATAGTGCGAACGATTGCACTTTTCGCTCAATGCTATGCACTATTTCATGTTTTTGTTGCACTTTTTTGCGGTGGCAAAAAACTTTGGTTTATTTACGAAATTACCACCGCGTTTTTGATCAAATCTAGTGCAATGTTGTCTCATTTTGAGCCATTAGATTATGAATTGAATGCATAAGATTTATTTTCACTTTGCATGGGAAGGTCTCTTTGTATTTGAGTCCTCCCTTACACACACACACATACACACTATTTCGTCCAAAAAAGAGTCATGACTAACAAGGTGTGGCTTCTTCATTTTTGCAACGTACAATTGCTATGAATAATTAACCCTACTTATATATCTTTTATTTAATTTGTTTGTTTAACTAAATTTATCGCATGCTATGTCCCCCAAAAGGAGTTATGTTTGACCAACGCATTATTTTTAAATCTTGGCAAGCAGTTAATGTACAATAAATAACGACTCACAATTTTTAAAATTTGTTTCTCGGTTTTACTAATTTTATCATAGGTAACTTACTTTGATCTTTCTAGACAATTTTTGACAAATCACATAAAAAACTGCTCCGATCAACCAAATGTGGTGTCTTTTGGGACAAAAAGTGTGAGGCATCTTTTTTCGAAAGATTGACTAAATTGTGTGTTGCTAATTTGTTATTGTGTTAAATCTGTAGACTCTGATCGCTAGGCGAAGTAATATGTTGGTAATGTCTAGAGAAGGTCCTCTTGGGGCATATGCAAATCCACATGGTCATGTGCACGAGATAATGACCCTTCTTAAAGCACATGAGTTAGCAGTCATTGGGAATCCGGTGCGGGAATATAGCTGGTTTCCTGGGTATGTTTTTTATTTATTTATTCTGTTTCCTTAAATGTTGCTATCTTTCTCACTATTTGCATATATATCTCTCACTCTTTTCTAACTCTGAAGGCAGTCATTTCTAGGCATTGTTAATGTTTTATACATCTCGACCTTGTATTTACTTCATAGGTTATTAGTATTTCAGCTGTGTGTTGCACGGAAAAATTGATAAATAATTGATTGTCTCTTTCATTAAGTATATAAATATAATTTCAAAAAAGTGAATGTAGTTTAATCCTGATGAATGTAATATGAAAAAAATCTACAAAATCATTGAACATGTACCTGTCAACAACATTCAAAGCGAGATTGTTTGGTCAATCAACATAAGATAAACTTCAACCAATATAGGCATGTTATGTTACTCTTGGTATAACGATGTATCCAATTTGGCTTGAGTACAAACATGATGACTCAATAAGTCACCTTCTTTTTCTGACACTTGAATTGTCATCACAACCCACACTTGGTACATACAATCTCATACCCAGTGTCCTCTCCGATGCCTTTTTATGACATGACCGTTAAGTCATCAAGCAATCTGTATAAGCCCAAGACCTTACACGTAGAACACTGTTTATCTTTGAATAGAATCAACATCCGAGGATCTAGTAAAGTTTGATATTTTCATAAATACTCCCTCTATCTCTCATCCCTGTGACTTTTACAACATTTTGAAATGTTGTTAATGATGTTAAAATTTTGCTCCAAGGATAGATTGGGATAACCACCTCGCAATATCCATAATCCTTATCAACATAAATATCTCAAGTTAAAAAATATAAAAATGCTAAGTTATCTGAATGGTGTATCTAACTAAAAGATTATAAATATCATTAGATCATGTAAAATTTGGCAAATTATATTGTACATGAACAAAATGAACTACACCTATTATCAGAACAAACTTTTTTGGTAAGTGGCAACAGGAAAGCAGATATGATACGAGTTGATAAAAAATGATTCCGTCCAAATAAGCAAGTCTAATCTGGCTTAGTCATATTATGTCCATACTCTTGATAAGCAATTTAAGTAGAATAAGCCAATTGGTGCTACCAAACCGTGTCTTTAGTGGTTTATGTGGATGATTTATTATTTGGTTATTTCCGTGTTTATATGTTTTTTGAAATGTAGAAATTGGTGTACGTAGGTATGGCTGGTCAATCGCAGAATGTGCTAGATGTGGATGCCAGATGGGGTGGCTTTTTACTGCTACAAATTCGAAATTGAAGCCCAGATCATTTTGGGGCATTAGGTGTTCCCAACTTGCTGACACCACTTAGGCTAAACCCATGGAGTCATGACGGTGATGATTTTGATAAGCTAGAAATTTGTACATAATTTGGGTGTGATTATATTTTGGGGGAATGGTCTTCACACACCATTTGTAATCCAAGTTTGTGTATACATCTTATTTGCAAAATCATTAATATTCGCATACCCAAAATTACAAAACAATTTGGACGTGAATTCCCAATTCCCCCTTTTGTTGTTGTTACAACTAGTATTCTCACTTGTGTGATGCTCGTTCGAAATAAAGAACCTTGTATTAATTAGTACAAAAAATATCGAAATCATAATGATACATCAAAACTATTACAATGATCACTTCATGGACAACAAACAAAATTATGTTATTCAACATAAGATAAGATGAAAAAATTTACTGTACAAGTAAATATATAAAATGAAAGTAATTAAAGGGAGATAAGTTAGTGAAGAAGAAATCAAAAGACTTGACGTTTAACGAGTAGGAAAGAAATAGGGATGGACTCGGGCAGAGCGGCCCGGCCCGGTTACTGTTTGGCCCGGCCCGGCCCGGGAACCGGTCCAGGGGGCGGTTCGGGTCGGCCCGGCCCGGTAGGAATGCGGTTCGGGCCCGGGCCCTAGGATTGGTGAACCGGCCCGGCCGGTTCGGGCCAAATTAATTTTTTTTTTGAATTTTTTTTAAGTTTTTGGGTTGGGCAAGGTATTTTGGGCCATTTGAGGTGGTTTGGGGTGGTTTGGGGTGGTTTGGGGGTGAGGGGGGAGGGTTGGGGGTTAATTAGGAAAAGTCAAAAAAAAAAAGAACCGAGGCCCGGCCCGGGCCGGTTCCGGGCCTCCCATTCCTGAACCGAGGCCCGGCCGGGCCCAGGTCCGAACCGGAACCGGTCCACCCCTAGAAAGAAAAGTTCAAGTAAAAGTGTAATAAAAAAGAGTTTTTTTTTCTAAATTAATGCTAAAAAATAAACTATTTACAAAAATAAGGTCAAGTTACAATTATTTACCATTATACTGCCAGATCTCAGCTATAGTTAACAAAAACGCCAAATGGTATGGCGACTTTGCTTCAAAACACGGTCGGCCGAGAGTTGGAAGACACAATCATATACATGAATCCTTATTTGTAATTAAAATAAAAGATAAGTACTACTCCCTCCGTCCCAAGGAGAAGTTCTCGGGTTGACTTTCACACATTTTAAGGAAATAAAGTTACTGAGGGGTAAATTTTACTGTTTGGCATTGTTTCGACACTGTTTGACACTATTTCAACACTGTTTGACACTGTTTTGCACTGTTTTGCACGGTTTGGCACTGTTTTGATGTAGGATAACTTTCCATTTAGGGAAATGAGAACTTTTTGTTGGGACTGCCAAAAAAGGAAAGTTGGAACTTCTCCCTAAGACAGAGGGAGTATTTTGGAAAAAGCCTTACTCTTGGTCCGGCACTCTGACGTGGATACTCCTGATCTGTCTGTTTAGTGTACTATGTACACTCCTGAAATTCTGTCTTAGAGGGATTAGTGTTCTCCTGTTTAGTGTACTATGTACACTCCTGAAATCTTTTTTGAGCAATATTACTCTTCCGTTAAGGTTCGAGTCTCTTCGGTGATCTCGTCCTTTCTGTTCAGCTAGCTTCTGTTAGGGATTGATATGTGTAGCCCCGGCGATTACGTTTCCACATCCTTTCTGGGTAATGTGGGTACAGACTTCGACACTTCGTGACTGTATTCCTTATCGTTAGTATTCCGCTGTCTAGGTCCAGTTGCTTGAGTTTAAGGCTAAATGAATATGTTTTTATTAATGATTAGTTTGAGAATAAGTATTATCTGATAATTATGATATCTGGATATGTTTATGTTCGGTACCCACACTCAAAAATATTCCCAAAATAAAGATTATCCGATACTTAGGATATCTAAATATGCTTTTGAGCTGTATATGAATATTTCGATTCTCATAACAGTTATTCGGCTCACTTAGGTGTTGGTACACTGATTTGATAGCTTGGACTACATTCAAAAAGGCTTGACCATGACAATTAATGACGCATTTATTAGAAGTAATGCTAGCTAATTAATCTAAGCGGTTTTATGCATATAATTAGAGTAATTATTGTAATTATGACATAGGTTACTCAAAGGGCTGACCAGAATTGATGATGCAATAATGACGATATTGATGTCGTCGTAACGGTCGGGACATGTCGTCGTAACGATCGGAACATGTCATCAACGGACAAAAGTGCATTAAATGCATCTCTTATAAATAGCTACAGGCTCTATGTAATCAGCATATTGAGACACGAATACACATACACTCAGGCCTTACTTTGTAATTCAAAAGCATACTGTGAAGATCCTTCTTCTTGATCATTATATACTAATTTCCTTTCTTTACCAATTCTTCCATAGTTGATTCTATATTGCTTGATTCCCAATCCAATTTCATATATATTTTAGATTAGTTTATTTTGGCATAAACAATTTGGCCCCGTCTGTGGGAAATTCTTGCAAAAAAGAGAATCAATTATGGCCGGAAGCTCTAATCCCTTGGTAAGTGAGATCCAGGCACAATTGAAAGTCGTCCGAGAAGAACTTCGCACGTCCAGGACTGCAGACGCAAAACAGTTGGAAGCCGTCCGAGAAGAGCTTCGTGCGTCGAAGAGGAAATGCGTCAGCGAGTGGCTCTTCTCCAAGGCGAAAACGACGCTTTGAGATCTCAGGTCCAATCGGTGGCGTCTATAGCATCCAACTCACGAAAAGGGAAAGAGATCATGACCGCAACATCAAGATTGGACATGGACTCCATACCGGTCTCAACCTCGACACTAACCTTCACAACCGAGTCCTTTTCGGAAATTTTGGATTTCGATCCATATGCTGGATACTCCCCAGTGGTTTCACAATTGTGCCCTACGAACCTCTTGTCCCACAAACGACTCCAGCGGCGAGTATCCCCGTGTGTTTCTTTCTTGATTCGCTGCGAACCAGGACGACGACGTCGGGTTTGCAGACTGTCAACCAGCAAATACCGATTCCTATCACCGTGTCAGCACCGACGGTGCCTTTCGTTCCTCATACAGGAGCCGATACATCAGGACGAGCAGGACCATCATCTCGTTCTGCCCCGCTCCCAAATCCCAGAAGAAACATACTCCGGAATTTGGTTATGGAATCCCAGAAACGACAAGTTCATGGCCACAACGACATGTCTGTAGGTGTCAACATCGGTAATCAGAGACGTCAACATCCGGAGGTCATCACCGTAAAGTCACCAACCAAGCAGAGGACAGCTCAGGCAGCAACATATCCCGAAGTGGCAGGTACGCAGATGCAGACGAGCATGGCAGATCCACTGGCCATCATTATGGGGGAACTAAGGGAACTACGAGAAAGGTTCAATGGCATGCCAGGAGTCCCTCGTCCCCTTGACATGGCAACGCAAACTTGTTACACGGATTTGCCCTTCGGACAACATATAGCAGATGTCGAGATTCCAAGGAAATTCAGTGCACCATCCATGAAGTTGTTCGATGGAACCACAGATCTAGTAGAACACGTCGCCCAATACAAGCAGCGAATGTTGGCAATCTGTGTCAGAACAGACCAACGAGAGGCTTGTATGTGCAGGGCGTTCGGGACAACATTAACGGGACCAGCATTGACGTGGTTCATCAACTTACAAAACGAGGGCGTCAACTCATTCGTGGAGCTCGTTAACTTGTTCACCCATCAGTTTGCAAGTAGTCGGACATTGGAGAAGCAAACAAGCGACCTGTATCGCGTAACACAAAGGCGTAACAAGTCTTTACGTGACTACTTGCATCGCTTTAACAAAGAGAAGGTGCCAATCCCAAGATGTGACACGCCGACAGTTGTGGAAGCATTCAGAAGAGGATTGCGTGAAGACTCAGACTTGTATAAGGACCTGACCAAGTTTCCGTGCAAAACCTTTGAAGATGTCCAGGCCATGACGTTGGCCTTCATCCGACTTGAGGATCAGCAATCTCGTCTTCATTGAGATGGATATGAGGGGGGACAACGGAAAGCAAGCACTTCCAGGAAGCATGACTACGGGACAGGAAAGCCATACGCGAAAAATGAAGATCGACCTGTAGCATCAGCAATTACTTGGCTTGATGATCCTAGTCTGCCACCTTCCATTCCAACATATTGCTTCAATGTCAACATTGCTGGACTTATCAACGCCCTAGACAAATTGGGAGAAAAAGTCTGATGGCCCAGGAAATCGGACAAACCCAGCGGGCGACGAGATCCCAATAAGAGATGCGACTTTCATGACGACATCAGACACAATACGGAGGACTGTGTCACTTTGCGAAAAGAGGTTGCCTACCTCTTGAGGAACGGGTATCTGACGGAGATCATGTCAGAACAGACGAGGTCCATGTTGCACAGAAATCAAAAGTCGTCCGCAGATCAGCAACGACCTCCTTCACCTACAGCACCACAAAAGGTAATTAATTTCATTAATGGTGGTTCTGATTTGTGTGGACTAACCTGCTCTGCAGCGAAGAGACAAGCTCGGGAATACTCCCGAGACAAGTCGTCACAGGTGAATCAAGTCGTCCGAAAGGAGGACGCCTGGAGAAATGCGCCTATCACATTCGATGAGACGGACCTGGCAAATCCAGCTGATATTCATCATGACACCTTGGTCATTGCTCTTAGGGTGGCAAATTGCAAGGTGAGACGAGTTTTGGTCGACAACGGTAGCACAGCCAACATCACAACGCTGAAGACACTAAAACAAATGGGATACGAGGAGGAAGACTTGGCTTTCTCTGGCTACCTTTGTTGGATTCAATGGCGAGCCAAGTCAAACAATAGGTAATGTCTCTCTACCCATACACGCTGTTGGCCTTAACTTGCAGGTGAAATTTGATGTAGTCCAAGATCTGCCCGCTTACAATATGAAACTGGGGACGCCTTGGTTACATCAAATGGGGGCAATTCCATCAACACACCATCAGGTGGTCAAAGTTTCAACGCCATGGGGAGTACAATCCATCCAAGGTGACAGGGCAGTTGCCAAGTCATGCTACCAAACAGCAATGAAGCCAACTGCCTCTGCCACAACTTCTGCATAGCAATTAAAAGGCGATTTCATTCCGGTCAGGGAAGACGACATCAATATTAAAGACATCATCATTGATCCAGACCGTCCGGATAGAGTCGTCCGCATTGGGAGAAACATGTCAACTCAGCTGGAGGAAGAACGTGTAGTTTTTCTGAAGGAGCATAAAGATGTTTTCGCCTGGAGCCACGACGACATGGCGGG